ATGAAGTCATTTTTTTTTTATGTGTGTGTACCATCAGATTGGATCTGACTTGTCCAGGAGGCGATTGTTCCTCCTTCTTCAGCAGAGCATCTGGTGGATTTGAACTGCACACCTCTGGGATTGCAGTGCAGTTTCCTGCCACTAGGCCACCAGAGCTCGCCGAAGTCAACTTAAAAAAAAACAAACATATATTGGGAAACTCTGCTGTTAGAGACCTCTCCAAAGTACTGAAGAGCAACGATGTCAGTCTGGAGACTAAGGTGCACCTTATACAGGCCATGGTTTTTGCAATCACTTGTTATGCATTAAGAGAGCTGGACAATGACTAGGGATGATAAAAGGAGAATTGATGCCTTTGAGCTGTGTTGTTGGAGAAGAGTATACCATGGACTGCGAAGAGAATGAACAGGTTCGTCCTGGAGAGAGTTAAATCAGGCTGCTCCTTGGAGGCAAGGATTCTGAAGCTTTGTCTGACATACTTTGGACATGTTGCAAGGAGTCCTTGAAGAGGAACGTCATACTTGGGAGGGTGGAGGGACTGCTCAGGAGAGGAAGACCCTGGATAAGATGGATTCATTCAGTGATGGATAATGGGAGAGTAGGTGTGTCAGAAACAATAAGATTGCCACAGAATGGAGCAGGGTTTAGGGCTATTGTACATAGCGTGGCTATGAGTTGCAGACGACTCAACGGCTCATAACAACAACAAGTAGTCCCAATCTGGGACAAGAAATGCATTACAAAATTAATTGAGGGGAGGGCAAGGGAGAAAAATGTACATCAGTGAATGAAGAAAATCCAGCCTTTCTGTAAACTTTTGTTTAAAATCACAGTTAAAAAAAGAAATTATTAAAGGGAGGGATAGATCATTGCCAAATATTTTCTCCCAGCTTGTAGGTTCTCTTTTATTCTTTAGGAAAAGTCTTTGATGCACGCAAAGATTTCCTTTTTAGCAGATCTCAGTCATCTAATTTCTCCTCTGCTAGTTTTCATTTATGTTTGATAATGTTTATGCCATTGATTAGCACCCCTAAAATTTCCCCAAGTTTTTCCGTGATACTCTTTATAGTTTTGGATTTTATGCCTAGGTCATTGATCTATCCTGAGAATGTTTTTTAAAATGGGCTGAGGTATGGATCTTGTTTCCATTTTCTGCAAATAACCAGTTTTACCAGCACCATTTGTTAGACTGCCTTTTCTCCACTTAATGGATTTCATCTATGTCTAAGATTGGCTATGTCTGTAGGTAGATGTATTGATGTTGCTGTCATTGTCTTGTGCCATGGAGTCAGAACCAACTCAAAGCTGAACCTCTAACAGGTTTTCAGAGACTATAAATCAACGTTGGAGGAGACTGCCCATCTTTCTCCCGCAGAGCAGGTAGTGGATTCAAACCACCAGCTCAACCTTGAATTGGTAGTATAAACTCTTTACCCATTAGGCCGCCAGAATTCCCTGGAAGCGTTTATAGGCAAACTTCTATTTTAAATGATGGTTTAAAATGCTAACTTACTTGTAGAAGACACTTTAAAAAATCATTTTATTCATAAAGATTTATTATCCTTAAGATCAAAATAAAGTCAATTTAATTAGTGAAAAGCATTTATCCTTCCATGGCATTTCCTTACATTAATCTATGGAAGAAAAGAAATACAATAACAACCTTTTAGGAGAACTCCAGTAGCATTGTGATTTGTTACTGATCTTAAAAATCTGATTCTCTCTGTAGATTGCTGCTAAAATTGATTCAATTCCTCACTTGAATAATTCCGCGCCTCTAGTGGACCCCTCAGTGTATGGCTATGGAGTACAGAAACGGCCTTTAGATGATGGAGGTAAGTTGCTTTGCCTTTGTGATAATAGTGAACCTGCCAGTTCCATTTGAATCTGTGTCAGCCATTTCCCACACGTCACACTTTTAAGAGAAATGATAGAGAGGAAGTATTTAGGATGATTTTTCTCAGCAATTCTCTGACATTTGAGTTCTGACTTGCCTTGATAATGCAGGAATCTTTTCTGTAAGGTAAAGACTTAGCTCCTAAGCTTCAGCTTTGAAGTCATTTTACAGACTTCAGAATTTTGATTGATTTTGGGCTTCATTCTTTCAGTTTATGTGTGGGAATTGAACTTCAAAGAAATGCTAGGGTATGACAACAATCCCGAATAAAAAGATACATTGTAGAGTGGGCTGTAGAGGGGGAAGAAAATGTGCAACAATGAATTTTTTAAAAAAACATGCTAGGATTTGGTGCACAGTTTTGAGGAAGTTGCAACTACATCATAACCTTAAAGAGAGTGGAATGGAGACCTTTCTAGTCTACCTGGTTTTCCACAATTCCCATTTATTATAGATTCTTCGTAGAAGTATATTTACCTTTCATTTATTATTTTGCTTAATTTTTGGCATGTTTTTTGGTCTGCCTCATCCCAAAAAGAATTTTATTTAGACAGCTTGGAATCACCAGCCTCCTTTGGTAACTAATAGCTGTCAGGTGTGTTTTTTCAGAGCGCTAAGTAGTTCCTGAATTACATTTTATCTCATCCATAGCTGTGACAAGGATACTGACATACACTAGATTACACTGGGCTGTGCATGTGGTTGGGTGAGTCATTGTCTTCTCTGGCGGTTCCTGCTGTTGATAGGTATAAACACACAAGCATGCACTTTTTTTTCGTGCTATTTTATAAAATGGAAAGAATCTGGTTTCAGAGCAACATATATTGTGTGATCTTCTCTTCTAAGAATATGTTCTTAGAATTATGTTCTTACATACATAGTAAAATGATATGTGGTAGTTATAATTTCTCTGGTCTCTTTGGGAATTCTATAAGAGAACTCCATTGGTTTTAGATGGAAGCTTTAATTAGTGTTTTCTTATACCACATATCACCGATTACAATATCTGCCTTTTGCCTTAATGAAAACTATAATGCCAGGTAACCTTTTTGCCTCTCCAGGGGCAATAATACTTTGGTTCCTCTTGTAAGACATCAATGTAAAAATAAAAATATGTTGTCTGGCTCTGAGTATATAACTCATTAATGGGCAGTGTCTCCCTAGCTTACTGTTTCCCGAAATCTAGATCAATACATTTCACAATTCCCAGTCTTGTTTTTATCTATTGTGTGTAGTAGAAGTGTTAAAACTTTTTCACACAGTGAACTGGTAGTTACTGTGTCCTTTTGTTTAAGAACAACTGGAATATTTGTAGATTTTTCTTCCGTTAGTCTTTTGCACACACATTTGAAGGAAATTAGTTAAAAAAACTAAATTTACTGAAAAAGAACTGGAACATAGGTTTGTAGCTGACTCAGCCAGAATCACCTGATAAAACAACAGGAATTTAGAACATCAATTTGAAACACTTGAATCCCCAGTTCATCATTACATTGTACCCTTTTTTTTAATGTATATATTCATGCTATTTTGCATGTCTACCTCCTGGCAACTAAATGTTTGTAAATACAGAAAATGCAAGTTTCCTCTTTTATTCTTTCTGAATAAATCTACCTGCAATTAAAAGGCTCCATGCTTAGCTGAAAGGTCACCTATTTAAAGAGTTACTCCTCGGGGAAAAGGTATGGCGACCTGCTTCTGTATAGATTGCAGCGTTGGAAACCCTGTGGGGCAGTTCTCAATCCTGCAGGGTTGGTGTGAGTTGGAATCCATGTGACAGCCAAGTTGCTTTTCTGTTTTCTAATGGGAAGGCACTAAGAATTATTAGTAATTAATATTTTAAATTTTATTCAAAACACATCTCCCATCACATTTTACATAATCAGTTGTATTTGAAGAATAATAAATTGCTTCAGATTTCTTATATTTTTTATTACAGCTTGATAAAGTTAGTCCTCTATCCTACAGAATTGCACAAATTTTCCTCAGAGGCAGATTTTGTGATTTATGGAAACCTTGAGAGTTGGGAGCCTACCACTATCTCATTTTGTCAGTTGCTTTCTGACAAGGATAAGGTCACCCAATTAGTTCCATTCTCTTGAATAAATATGTGAATAAACAGAATCTGCCAAGGAAAGCGATGTTCATGTTTACCTGACAGCTTTCTACGGGTCACAATCGTCTGTTTGTGCAATAGCAATGTAGAAAGTAGAGATAAGGCAACTGGCAGGAGTTCTGCCACTTCTTTTCTTAACACTAAAGGTTTCCAGGTTTCCAAAACTTTACATTTACATTGTTGATATTTTTTATTTAGTCACTTCTGATTCAAAGCAATCCGTTGGAATTATAATTCAGAAATGAAGTGGCAGTCATGGTAATGCACAGTGTAACTTGTCAGTTGGCTTAGCCAAGTAGAATAGTCATGAACGTTTTCCCCTAAAAATGAATGCGCTAAATCTACAGAATGTACGTGAAAATCATACACAGTATCTGTTAACATTCTTTGAAACTATTTAAACCTATGGGATAAAAATTAGATGTCAGATTAAAGGGGAATTAATAGTTTTTAGAAATTCTGTTAGGGAACATGTGAGCCAACTGGTCTGGGCTTTTACTGTCGCTGGGCATCTGAATCATCTGAGGAATTTTGAAAACACATCTTAACAGCACAGCCATTTTAGAAGACAGTTTTCTGTAAAAGTAAACTTGCACTTAGCATACAACACATAGTTGCTCTACTGGGCATTTATCCCAAAGAAGTGAAAACTTTCACATGAAAGCTTGATCATAGTAGCTGTATTCATAATAGCCCCAAACTAGATATAGCCTATTTGCAACCCTCAGCAGGTGAATGGTTGAATAGTGTACATCCAAACAGTTGAATACTGTTTAGCAATAAAAAACACAAACTGTATCAAGTTTGTGTATTATATGTATCAACATAATATTAGGTGATTCTACAGGGAATTATGCCTGATTTTAAAAAAGTAAAAACTAATCTCCAAAGGTTATGTACTGTATGGTTCCCTTTATAATAGGTAAAAAATGGAAATCAAGTTAATGGTTGCCAAGAATTAGAGATAAGGGATAACAGAACCTCTGTTTAGAAAATGAAGAATCACAGCTGGAAGGCACCTTAACTTCCTTATCACATAGATGAAGAACTCAAGTCTGGAGAAAGAGTGACTTGAGTGAGGACAGATGTCTGATGAGTGGCAGAAAAAAGACTCAAACCAGGGTCTCTGTTTCAAATACCTGAAAATATAAACTCCAAAGTCTGGAAGATCCAGGTTTGAGTATTAGTTAGTGGTGATGGTGTTCAGTGCCTCCGAATTGACTACAACTCATAGCAACTCATTGAAGAACAGATCTGAACCTTGCACTATCCTGCACCATTCTTAACCATCTCTGTTATGTTCTAGCCCATTGTTAAAAGGCAGTGTGTCAGTAGTCGGTCTTGTTGGGGTTCTTTCTCTCTTTCTTGACCCTTTACCTTTCCCAGCAAGTTGTCTTTTTCAAGGATTAAGGAAGGACAGTGTGGCCAGAGTATGTGAGGCAGTCTCCCTGTCCTTGCCTCTAAGGAGTACCCTGGTTGACTTCTTCCTGGACAGATTTGTTTGTTCTTTTTGCAGCCATAGGATGTCCCGCATTCTTCTTCAACATCACTACTGGAAGGCATTGTAATCTTACTCATTGTCAAATATATGTACAAGTAATTGAAAAAACTATGTCTTGGATCAGGCACAGTTGGTAGCTCTGTAAATTTAAGCAAGTTGTTTAACCTTTCTGAGCCTCTTTTCACATATAAAATATCCACCTCATAAGATTCCTGTAAAAAATTACTTTCAACATTTGAAAATACCTCTCAGAGTGTAAGAAATACTCTTATTTCCATCAGACCGAGTATATATTTACTAAGCATGCAAATGCAACTGAAATTAAAAAGTTAGGCCATCCATATCCTTATTTGTTGTTGTTATATGCCATCAAGTCACCTGCAACTTGACCCTATGTACAATAGTTCTGAACCCTGCCCTATCCTGTGGACCTACTCGCACTACCCTAGTTACTGTGTCAACCCATCTCATCCAGGATCTTTATCTCCTGCACTGTCCCTCTACCCTTCCAAGCATGATGTCCCTCTCCAACGGCTGGTCACAGCCGGCAACATGTCCAGAGTATGTAAGACAGAGCTTCAGAATCCTTGCCTTCAAGGAGCAGCCTTGTTTCACTTTCTCCAGACAGACTTGTTTAGTCTCTCGGTGGTCCATGGTATATTCAATACTCTTCTCCAACACCACAAGTAAAAGGTACTGATGATTCTTCTATCATCCTTAGTCATTGTCCATCTCTCTAATGCTTAGCAAGTAATTGTGAAGAAAGACCATAGCCTGAATTAGGCACACCTTGGTCTCTAGACTGACATCATTGCTCTTCAGTATTCTGGAGAGATCCCTGACAGCAGATTTTCCCAGTGCAATTCACCTTATTGCTGGTGCCAAGAGTGTTGATTATGGAGCCTAGCAAGCTGAAATTGTTAACAACCTCAATCTCTTCTCCATCCACCATGGTGCTACCAGTTGGCCCAGTGGTGAGTACCTTTGTCTTCTTGATACTGAGCTTCAATCTATATTGACAATTACAGTTCATGACCTTCTGCAGCAAATGCTTCATGTCGTCCTCAGTTTCAGCAAACAGGGTTGTGTCATCTGCATAATACAGGTTGTTGATGAGTCTTCCTCCAATCCTGATGCCACATTCCTCCTCATAGAGTCCACCCTCCCAGATGATCTGTCCAGCATACAGGTTGAGAAGGTATGGAGACAGGATGCATCCCTGACACACTCTTTTCCTGATTTTGAACTATGCAGTGTGTTATCTTGTTCTCTTCTGATTACTGATCTGATCCAGATAATGGGTTTTGCATAAGCACATCAAGTGTTCTGAGATTCCCATTCTTCTCAAGGTTAGCTATAATTTGTTGTGAGCCACACAGTCAAATGTCTTTGCATACAATGAAACACAGATAGACATTCTTCTGGTACACTCTACTTTCACCCAAGATACGTCTGACACTGGCAATAATGTCTCTAGTGCCACGGCCTCTAAACTCAGCTTGTATTTTTGATAGTTCTTCCTTTTTCCCTTTTTGGTAAAGCTGACCACAGTCCTCTAAATTGATTCTGGGCCACTAGATTAAATTAAATTATACCTACAAAGTACTTGAAATAAGTGACTAAATAATAGTGCAGAATTAAACAATGTAGTGTTGAAACTCCTAAAATAAGGGCAAGAAGCAAGAATGGATATGGAACCCATGTGGCATGTGGGCATAGGCCCTGAGCCTATGTACTGTTCTAAGGATGCAGGTATAATCATATCTTTCTCCAGTGACCTAGTCGAGAAACTCCTGCAATCTTAAAGGCATGTGGTTTGAATCCACCAGATGCTTCACAGGAGAAGGATGAGCAGTCTCCTCCTTTGTGATTTATTTCCTCTGAAAACCTGTTGGAGGGTGAGCTTTGAGTTATTTCCAACTTGATGGCAAAACACCAATATCCATTAGAGACCACTAATGACAGCACTTGCCGCCTCTGGCAGGGTTTGGATTGAGTCAGTGTAGTTGAGGCACCTACTGTTAGTAAAAAGTATGTTAGTCTACAAGTTAGAGTGACATTGAGATCAGTTTTCATTTACTGTCACTTTTCAAAAGATCATTTGCAAAATTAATGACAGATTATTTGCCAGTAATCTTTTTTTTTTTTATTTGCCAGTAATCTTACAAGCTAAACTCAGTATGTCAGTGGTTTATGGCCATAGGGTGAGAGTTACTGCTTTAAAACAGAGGAGCCTTTGTATTATTTCTGGGAGAAACACTTCATTAAAATGTTTTTAAAACTTTTGAATTCCTTTCAGATTATTGCTGCCCATGGCTGGGGTTTAGAAAGGCATTGGACACAATCCCAAGAGCCTGAGCCCCGGGGTGAGATTGGGGAAGAATTGTTTTCAAAATTTGAAGAGAAAGGTGATTTTTGCCAGTCTTCCAAAACCTGCTGATGCTTCCTAGCCTCTGGTTTCTGGTTCTGTATATGATACTACTCTCATTGTTGGTGTGCTGTTGGATCTTGGATTTTTTTTTAGAGACAGTATTTTAACTGTTGAAACTGATGCTATAAAGTTCAGTATGTTTCTTAGTGATAATTTGTTAGCATTTCTTTTGGGAAATAAAAAAGACTTTTTTTCTTTTCCTCTTCACTGTGGGGGGAAAGGCAACCTTATTTTTTTTAAAAATCATTAAAATTGGCAGAGTATAACTCTTTTTTTTTAAGAGTATGACTCTTTAGAAAGAATTTCTTATCCTGTAGAATGAACATTTTCCATGAAAAGCTCATTTTTCCATAACCCAGGCAACTGCCCTGTCTATAGTGTGCAAGATAATGAAATGAAAATTCCCTGTGTGTGTGCTAGAATTCATCTAAGGTGAACTATTGAAGCAGGATGAAGCTTCGTCAACCAGCGTGCACCGTTAACAGGAAATAGGACTGATTTTATTCAGCATTTTTCCTTTTTTACAGTAAAATGACTGTAGTTACCATTAAATTGAACTTGATGGGTGTTCCCATGTGCCTTCCTAGTTTGACCCCTCTCCATCATGAAGACTAAGGAAAGGTCCTCTGTTGGTTGGACATTTATCAGTTTGAATACCCAGTGACCCCTTTTCATTTTTAGGCACCAAATGGGAATGTTTCTGAAGGGAATGAAACTTTAAATCACACATATATGCTTGGGCTGCGTCCATTTACATGCAGGAAGGAGGTTATTTTTCCTTTTCAAGAGTCTTCCAACTTGAAGAGTTGAATCTGGATTTGAATTGTATTTCATTCTTCAGTCTGACTCACAGCACTCTTGACCATTTGTTGGATGATGATGTATGCACCTTTATTTTTGATCCTTCTAAGTATCTCCACTTGTTCTCCAAGTATTGACTGGCAGAAATGATAAAGTGTGTGACATCTGTAACAAATACTTTGCCAACAAAAGAAATTTCCATTTGCATGATGAGCACAACATTTCTAATAGTCTTTGAACTGGAGCCCTCTGAATGTTCTCATGAATCTTGTGCGTTGTTTTTGTTCTGTTTCTGTGGCTTTTCTGGCTGTGACAGAAATATTTGAAGATCATCAGCCTTTTGATATTTCTTACCAAACAGCACCATGAACCAGAAGCCAAAGTCCAGTCATGTTGCCCTATTTGAGAATTAGGTGCTTATCATTTGTGTTCTCATCATTTTAAGACAGTTTATTTTTCCGTCTTCCATAGACTCTTATCTTTTAAGAGATATATTCAGACAGTGTTTAAGAAAGCAAAATTTTTCTCTTACATAGGAATAGGTACCCAAACAGGAGGGCGTTCTGCTATTGACAACCTCTTTTGACTATGTTTTTCATACTCAACTGCCTTAGGTAGATGACAGTCTGCTCACTTATTTTAGGAGTTGAATGCAGAACAAGGATGCTGTTCCTAAACTGGCAATTGTCCATATCTTGTGTAGAATATTAATCATGAGCACTACCTAGCTTAAGCAAGAGTTTGTTATGTTCAAGCTGGATATGTAGAAAAAATGTTTTAAGAGTTAATAGAAACAATTCTTATTCCTGGGATAAGCAGATTAATAATATTTAGTGTCAATATTTTGGCTGCAGACCATTATCTTGCTGTTGATCCAGAAGAGATAGAGTATTGACTCAGTAGCTTTGTTTACTTTTTGCTAACATTTCTTTATGTAGTATTATTATTATTATTTTATTTTTAAATGTCATGATCTGCTTTCTTTTGTTCTTTCATGATCAGCTACTCTCCAGAAAATAACAGGATTAAGTTCAAACTTAATGGTTATTAAAGAATAACCATTGGAAACCTACACTTCCTTTTCTTTGTCTTGAAATTGATATAATTGTTCTTTCCTTTCTTACCTAAAATCTGTCACTTAAATAACTTTCCCCAAAAACATGTTTGTGAATATTCTTTTTAATGTATTGTAAAGTTTCTCATTTGCCTTGTCAAGTATTTGGAACCCTCTACATCTTTCACATTGAATTTGGATGGAGAGCAGGAGGGAGGTGGGAAGTTAGGGGGATTTAGGCAAGCAGGATTTTCTCCCAGGCCCCTCAGAATGTAGACACACAGATCATTGTGTTTCCTGGGCTGCATTTTCTCCAGAAAATTCACTACAGAATCATTTTTGCTGACGGATGGTGAAGGAGACCCTCATCAATAGCTAAAAGAGCAGAAACTGAAACAAACAGCATCGCCAAAGTGGTTTTGAGAAAATATGATTACAGAGTTGGTTTTAATAACAAGAAGCTGTTTGGCACTGTTGTCTCTGAAATGGGCTTGAAAGGCAGCTCATTCTTAGGGTGCACTGCTTAAGAACTGCTTCGGTAGATGGGGTCTGGGAAGAGGCCTAAGGAGGGAGGAGGCCAGAGCCTCCTTGAGATACTTATGCCTTTGGGGTCTGACGGGTGTCTAGAGGGATGGTCCCTCCCCCGTGGGCATCAGGAACATATGTGCACGTTCTTAGTGACTACAGCTGCCATGAAACAGTCCTTAACAATGCTTCTGAGGAGGTTAAATCTTCTCATTTGTGTTTAAAAAGAGAAAGATGGAACCCTTTCCATCTTCACATTGAGTTTGGATGGAGAACAGGAGGGAGGTGGGAAGTTGGGGGGATTTAGGCAAGCAGGATTTTCTCCCAGGCCTCTCAGCATGTAGACACACAGATCAATTTCTTATCCTGTGTTCAGCTGGACACTAGGTTAGAGACTGTGTTGATCAAGATGTCCCCTCCTGTTTCATATCATATAACGCATTCATTTCAGCCACTGAGCCTAAATTACTGTTGGCTTTCTTTCTGTCTGTCTTTTTTCCCCTCTGAAATGGTAAGAACTCGTATAAGGATGAAGTTAGTTTATCCGTGCTAATGCTTTGATTTTTCTTCTCTCTTTCTCTTTGCCACAGTAGGTAACCAGTTAGGGGCCTTGGTACATCAAAGGTAAGCAGTGGGTTATGTTTTATTATTTATTGATCATTTCTAATTGTTTATTGATCCACCATCTGTACTAGAGTGTTAGAAAGTCAGAGGTTGAAAGTATGAAAAACCATGGGCTACATTTCTTTAAGACTCACATTTTTGCTAGCCCTTTCCAAGGCATATGATCTCAGGGGATAAACTAATACAAGGTATTATTTATCCGCCATTATGATACAGAATTTTTTTTTTAAAAAAAAGACTTCAAAAAAATTAAGAGTTATTCTTTCAACTGGCATATATTTAATTTCTAAAGATAGATTATGAAATTACTCCTCCTGGTTTTATGGTTTTTCTATTATTTTATGAATCTTTATCTGCTTATTTGAAAAAAAGTAAAGTCCTGAAGAAGTGTCTGAGTTGTTAAGCTTTTGCAGAATGATTTTGGTACTTAAGAAGTCTGTTAAGGTAGATGGCTCACACTTACACCTGGGAATCCAGCAGCCATGGTTTCACCCCTACTCCTAAAAGAGAGATGCCAGAGAACCTTGGGAAAGTTACCAAATGTCTTCCCTGCCTCAGCTTCTCTTCCAAGTTTTCTTTTAAAACATGAGAAGTGTAGGAGGCCTTAAAGACCTTGACTTTAAAATGTCTTTAACAGGAAAGTTATGATCCCATTGTGATTGGTGAAGGATCAAATATAACATAGGTTGTTCTTTTCAGTTCTGTAATAAAGTGAAATCTTGGCTCTATAGCTCTTGTTAAAACATATTAATCTTAGTGATACAATTGTATCTTCTTGTGTTTACCATAAAAGTTGGAGTGGAAGGGGAGACTATGCAATCTCTAGGCATTAATTAACTAGAAGATGTATCCTAGTTTGCTGTTGATTTTGTTTGTTTGTTTAGTTTTTGGAGGCTTGATTTTGTTAAAATAACTTAAACATGAAATTATTGCTAATATAGAAAAAACTTCCCTCTGAGGCTATAGTTCATTGGAATTTTACTTTTCAAAATATGTATACTTTGTGCATTAGACAAGATTCAGCTCTGCATATACAGTAGGGCTTTGTCTTACATGCAGTCCTGAACAATTCATCTTGGTAGTATTGTCTCAAAGAGAGTCTGCTAAAATTGTTCCCAGGGACTGAGGATGTGCCCGTATTTTGCATCCTCTTCTGTTGCTGTAGTGTTCCACCTCCTCTAGTAAATTTTTGCATGATCTTGTCTGAGATTAGGCAGCTTGTGCTACCCATGATGATGGAAATGATGATGATGATGCATGGTAGCAAAAGCCTCCTGGCTACATAGGAGCACACACATAAAAGAATGTTATTATCCTTTACAACAGTGTAAGGAAACACATTTCCAACAGGGACCTAGTATCTGTTTTCAGCATATTTCAGGTAAGCCAAGGTTCAACATTAATGACCACAGTTTTATTGAATTGGACTCCTGGAATTACCTGATTTCAGAATGAAGGGGTAAAGAGAATCCTTCCACATACCTGAGAAAATAAACTCCACATGGAGAAGATTCTTTTTGCTTCCATCAAATGACATAGTGGCAAGTGCTATTTATGCTATTGCATTTTTTTTCTAAGTGCTGCTCTTTCTTTAAAAACATGCATTTTATTCTTTATTCAGTTCTTTCCATGATGGGTAAAAATCCAGCTGTGTGAAAGATGTTTAAAAATGCTTCTTTTTTTTTAACTACTTGCATTTAGCTTCCTCCTATGGTAAACGTTTAGATTTAATTGCTTTCTGGGGTGTTGGGCAAATTGGACATTGTCCACAGTACACTTTATGGGAAATTTGAAGGTTTGTTTGAAAGAGCCAGTACAGCGGTTGTTTTGGTTTTTTTGTTTTTTAAAAAGGCACATAATGGATGAGATAGCATTTAACAGAAGTATCTTGTGGAGTAAGTGAGGTAATTATTCTGTCCTGGTCAACACTGATTAAGCCTCCGTTGGATACTTGTTCCATTTTGGGTGTCTCACCTTAAAAGAAAGATAGGTTATTTGAAGGAAGCCAACATGCAATAAAAAGATTGAGAAACAAAGCATATCAAAGAAAAGTTAAATCTCTCTTCATCTAGAGAGGACACTATAATAAAAGTCTAAAGGTCTTTAAAATCTCCAGAGGATCTTTTCAGTATCCTGGGATTGATAACTTGTTCATTAGGGGACCTAACAAGGTATAAATTATGCATATTGAGATTTTTATGCATAATACACATTTTCTTTATTTAACTACTCTCTAGAATTTATTAACTCAGACACTAGAGGAGATTCATCTTTCCAAGGCCTCATGGATCAAAAGATTCATTGTATGATACTCTCTGTGAGATAGTTTTGCATTTCTTAGCCAGTTGGTATGATATCTTTTAAGCCTTTATCTTCTTATCTAATGTTACCAGATAGAAAGTTTGGAAACCAAAAATGGCTACAAAATAATTTTCCCCCTCCCCAAATTGTTTTTTGTTTTTAGGGCAGTAATAACAGAAGAATTCAAAGTGCCTGACAAAATGGTTGGATTTAGTAAGTATGCACATTACTCATCTCTTCCCCAATTTTGGCCTTTACTTCCCTTTACCCCAGTTGACTTTGTCTCAGTAAATGGCCCTTACCTGTGGTAGCGTGGTTTTCATCCTGTGTTCCCAAGAAACCCAGACCCTGCAGAAAGATCTGTCATTGGAGAGAGAGACTAGAACTCTGGGCCTAGGGTCCGCCCATACCCCTCCACACTTTAGCTAGAATTTCTTATTTGAATGCCTGTAGGACTGAGATGGGCTCACTGAGGCCAGTTTGATTTGTAATGCTATGAGTCAAGTGTAAATGTTTGTTGAATTCCTTAATTCATGCATGATTAGATGTGGAATGAGAGATTGTATTTTTCTGACCCTTGTTCAATTTGTTTCAGTTATTGGCAGGGGAGGTGAACAGATTTCGAGGATTCAAGCTGAATCTGGTTGCAAAATTCAGATTGCTTCAGGTAAAGGCTTCTTTTTTTCATACATTTGAGTTTCGTAAAAATCTGTATTTTACACGGTTTTTGGATTCAAAACCTTTGCTTATTGCTTAAAAGCTTAGGGACTTGGGTAAGTATATGCAATTGCTATTTTCCTTGCAATTTTTTGAGTTGGATTCCTGGGTGAGAATCAGAAAAAAACAGACATGGGCCAGACAGTCACATGTCTGGCTTCACAGGTAGACCTCCCAACAGTTCTGTGGCTGGACATGGCCTATTCCCAAGCTCTGCTGCTGTAGGACCTCTATTTTCTGCACCAGAATGTTATACAAACATAGTAGGATCTACAGGAATCTTATGGCTTTGAGATAGCCACTGGGGTCTGCACACTGGCTCCTGTGGATTGGATCATTCTTCCCTCCCTTTGTGGAGAGGGCGCCTGTATGGGGTTCTGGCTGAATTAACATAAGCTAAACACACTCTTTAGGATGTCTCGGAACTGGGCATATTTTGACCAGACCTTGTGGAGAGGTACAGATAAAGAAAAATAGTTTTTATTATAAGAGAAGATTTTATTTAAAGCTTTATTACCTAATTTGGGTTTTGATCTTATTCCATAGTGAATGATGATGTTTGGAGGATATTTGGCTAAAGAAATGTTTGCCATTTAGAGATACTTATTATGTCTTGCAGGAATTACTTTTAGCTGTTAGCCAGATTTTTAGTTTTTTTGTTTGGTTGGTTTTATTTGGAACAAAATTAATCTTAATATGTCATATTGGAATATGAGATTTTTTTTCTCTCTTGTAAAAACAATCCAGAACCAGTTCCACTTAGATGTCACTGATCTCTTTGGATGTTCATGCAATAAATGGTAATAATCCTAATGTGCATATCATTAAATTCTTTATTATTATGCTTAGAGCCATCTGCAAACAAATGAACCTTAAACTTGTATACAAATGGAAAAATGAAGGCATAGCATGGTAAAGTGAATCAAGCAATTAGTAGCATATAAGTGGGTCAGAAATGATGCTGAAGCTGGTAATTAGGACCAATTTAGACACCTTTCTGAATCCTCTCAGCCTTCCCTGTTAGCCATGTTTCCATTTTGAGAATCCAGTAGTGTGGAGTTATCAGCTCATGAGTCTCTCCACAAATCAGCACAAACTGTCTTTTTCTGGGAGTCTGGGCTTCTGTGGGACTTGGTTTATAAACCATTCCACAGAGAGGCAGTCTGTACACAGAGGCAAAGATACATGATTGCCTGATGCCCACCAACACACCTCATCTTCTTGATTCTTCTTATAGAGAGTTCTGGGATTCCAGAGAGGCCCTGTGTACTTACCGGAACCCCAGAAAGTATTGAGTAAGTTTATTTTATTTACTTTTCCTTTCATTCTTCTTCCTCCTTCCCCAAATGGGGAGAAATGGAAGGGCAAAGCTGTTATTAAACACTGTTGATCTTACTACAATCCTGACCACAGTAGATGCTTATATATGAGAAAATCTGGGAGGTTGCCATGCCAGTGGAATTTTTCTGTTACCATAAACATACATGATAGCACTTTTGGGTTTTTTCTTTCCAAATCCTAAAAAAATTTATCATCCTGCCATAAGGTCTCCTCAGGCAGATTTCCCTGTAAGTAAAGTAAGCACAGCCTTATTTGTGCTTTTTTGCTTATTGGGTAATTCTACACTGTGTTTACTTCATAAACCAGGTTTTCAAGTGTACATTGACTCACCTGAATGCTCTAATCAGCTTACCTTCTTTCTTGTTAACATTTCCTTTACTGAGCAGGTCTGAATTAGTAATCCTATCACTTGGTAAACCATTAAAAGTAGCCTGGTACCTAACTTTTGCCTAGTTCTGATTCCACTGCCATCTGACACTTGTGAACCATGTAGATTTGATTCTTCATGGCTGTTACTCCACTCCTGAAGGCCATATGAACTGGCCCAAATGATGTCTTGCCTTTGGGATCCTTGCAGTGGCTTTAAGACTGGCATTGCCGTCCTGTGCTGGCATATATCCTCAAGAGTCTTATACCAGATGCAGGCCTCATAAATTCGAGGTCTTCTTGGGAAAAAGGATATACTAACTTGGAGTCTGCTCGCTTTCTTTTTCCAACCTACTGAGTGGTGCTGCGTTGAGGGACAGGGTGCTAAGATTATGTCTGGCTCAGTAGGTAGAGTTGTTTTATTGTTTCCATTTCTCAGGGAATCTAGATGAGTTTAAATTCTCTTATTCTGCTCTAACATTGCAAGCAGTGAACCAGAATAAATATCACTGGCAGGTATGCATTATAGGGCAAGTTGGATGGTTTTGCAGGAGTCAAGACATTTTTCTTCCAACGCAGGTTAATCTAGTACACAAGCAAAATATTAAAAAGCTTCTGTAACTGAGAAGATAGACACAAAGGCTCAGGATCACAGAAGGCAGTACCTATTTCCTGCCTTTCTCTTTCTTTCTATTCTTCTAACGATTCCTGCTTCATGTTCCACCCAAAGAGTTGAGGCAATGGCACTGTAATTTTAGGAAGAAATAGTTCATTTTCTGCTATGAAGAAAATTGTTTCGTGGCTAAATTCTTCCCTGTTAGAAGAGAAACCATAAATAAATTATGTGTGGTCATTTTGAAGAGTAAATAATGTAAAATGAAGACTAAATATTCATATATGATGACCAGGGACAATTCTGGTGCAGAAAAAGAAATTAACCCAACAATGACTTTGGTAGGTTGGACTGTACCACCATTTCAGCATTGCAGTCCCCATTCCTTTGACCACCAGCAGCCTCTAAGTAAGTCACACCAAAACCATTTGGAGATAACTAACAGTCCCCAGAAAATACACGCTCTTGAATTTGCTGACATGAAAGGCACAAAGCAGGTATATATGAATATACAGTTGCCTTTGAGCACTACTTGCTTTCTGTTGGAGCTTGCTCCCAAACTGGTGATTCATAGCTTGAGCTTACAAGTGATAGAGCAGTTTGATTGGATTTGGAGAAGAAATTTAGAGTTCAAATGATGACTACTAACCCTTGCTTTCTTTCCTATCTTTCATTGCTCTCTCTCTCTCCTACCCTTAAAAACATGTACTGAACGTATCCTCTATAAGAAGGGTTATGCCAAATTAGGGGAACAGAGGAAAACATAAATGTATAAAATGTGGACTCTGCTCCAGAGAAGCTAACATTCTGACAGAAGATGACACATTTGTGGAATAAATGGCCTAAGCATGGACGGGGGCGGTCAGCTGTTGAAAGTGGGCTGCGTCTGACAGTGGCCTATTCCTTGTGGTCCTGTTGAAACATTGGTGTTGGGTGCTTGCTTTTAAATTCCAGCCTAGTAGTGTAACAGATGGCAGACAGACCGCCCAGGTTGTGGGGGCAGGACCTGGAGCTGGATGGAGGGCTGCTATGACTTCTTCATATTTTTCCCCCATGCTGTTTCCCTTTCTTGGATTACTGGAGCATTCCTTTAATGATGGATTTTCTTGTGATTCTTTTCCCTCCCAAAGACAAGCCAAACGACTGTTGGGGCAAATTGTGGACCGCTGTCGGAATGGGCCTGGCTTTCATAATGACATAGATGGCAACAGTACAATCCAGGAGATTCTCATCCCAGCATCTAAAGTGGGTCTGGTCATCGGCAAAGGAGGAGAAACAATAAAGCAGTTGCAGGTATGTGAATCCTTAAAAAGAACAGAGCAGCCCCCCAATACAAAGTTCTTCATCTTGGTTTGGAAGCTTTTGTCCAGACGGCCTTCCTCAGCTAGGCTGCTGCACATATCATGGTGCAGAGACATCCGTATAACACTGTGCCAAAGGAACCCATGTCACCTGTGAAAGAGGCTGCTTTTTTCTATGCAGCAGAGGTTTTCAGAACATTTCTTGTAATTAGGCTTAATGCCAGATACCAGTGCAAGAACTGGGATAAGTGTGTATTAAGAAACATAGCCATGAATTCTAGGCAGATGTTGTTTGATGTTACGGGAATATTTATCATCAAATGATAGCATCTCAGAGTACAGTGTCCACAGAGCCAAATGCCTTAACTCAGTACTCTCCTCCAAATGCCTTAACTCAGTACTCTCCTTCAGTAGTTGTGTGGTCTTAAATAATTTATTACTTTTTGAAGGCTCAGGATCCTGATTTTTAAGAGTGGAAGTACTTGTTTATTGTTGTAATGAGGCTGAAGTAATAAGAGTGAAATTCTTTGCACAAAACCTGCAATCGAATTAGTACTCTGAAAACTTTATCTGCTTTTAGGCATCTGAGACACTTGGGGTCAATATTGTAGAAATTAACAAGGTTTCTATAATCGAGATACATATTCTTGCAGCTAAGCAAGCTAAACATTAATAAAACTGATCCAACAGAATGTGGAAGTTACTGAACAATATCATTATGGTCACATGCAAGCAAAATCTTGCTGAAGATCACCCAAAAACTACTAGAATAGTACATTGACAGAGAATTGCCAGAAGTTCAGGTTGGGTTTAGTAGAAGCTCTGACAAGGATAGCATAGAGAATACCAAAAGGGTATTTATACAGAGTCATTTGACTCTGGATCACAACAAATTTATGTCTAACATTTTTTTAAAAAATGGGAAAATTGCAGAACACTTGAGGAATTTGAGCTCATGAGCAAGGGAACACTAAATGGTTTAAGATTTATGGAAGGTGTGCCTTTCTCCTATTCAGTCTGTATACTGAACACATCTTTCAAGAAGCTAGACTCTGAAGAAGAATGTGGCATCAGGACTGGAGGAAGACTTATCAATAACCTGCAGTATGCAAATGACAACCTTGCTTGCTGAAATTGAAGAGGACTTGAAAGGCTTGCTACAGAAGATCAAAGACTGCATGCAGCCTTCAGTATAGATCACAGCTCAACAAGAAGATAAAAATTCTCACAACTGGAGCAATAGGCAATATCATGATAGATGAAGAAAAAATTGAAGTTGTCAACAACTTCATCTTGGTTCCATAGTCAGAAAATCAAAAGACATACTGCATTGGTGAAGTCTGCAGTCAGGGACTTCTCCAGATTACTCAGGACCAGAGATATCACTTGAAGACTAAGGTGCACCTGATACACGCCATGGTCTTTCTGATCACCTGCTATGCTTCTGAGAGCTGGATGGTAAGTAAGAATGACAGAAGAATTGATGCCTTTGAACTGTGGTGTTAGAAAAGAGTACAGACTACCCAGTGGACTACCAAAGGAACAAAAAAACTTGTAAGAAAGTACAGCCAGAGTGCTCTTCAGAGGCGAAGATGACAAAAGCTTCATCTCACATATTTGGGCATGTTGTTAGGAGAGGCTGTTCCTTGGAGAGGGACATCATGCTGAAAAGTGGAGGGTGAGCAAAAGAAAGGAGAACCCTCAACCAGATGGATTGACGCAGTGATTACAGCAGTGGGCTCAAGTATGTCAGAAATGATGAGGGTGGGATAGGGTTCAGATTTGTTGCTCATGGAGTTGCTATAAGTTCTGTTCAACAAGATGACAGTAACCATGAGAAAAGCTAAAAACATACTTCTATGTGCTTTTGCTTCCAAATTACTTTTGAGCAAACTGGTTTAGGGCTTTGGAGATTTTAAAATTGCAAGCAAGGTGTTACAGCTTACGTAGCATGGTTTCTTGTAACTTCAACTCACATACTTTGGGCATGTTGTTAGGAGAGGCCAGTCCTTGAACGAAGACATCATCCTTGAAGAAGACGACTCTGAATGGTGTCTGTATCAGTGATTATATCAGTAGGTTCAAGTATATCGGAATTGGTGAGAATGTCCCAAGGTAGGGCAAGGCTCAGATCTGTTGTTCATAGAGTGGCTTTGAGTGGTAGCTCAACAGCACCAATGACAAAAGTCCTTGATTTATGAAAGACATTGGTTTTTGTTTGTTTGTTTGTTTTTGGTCTCTCTGCATTCTTTTTTTTTATATATATATAATTTTTTTTTTAACAGAGGTTTTGGATTTCCATTCATTCATTGCCGCAGTTTTCTCCCTTCCCACCCCTCCCCGCCAGTTCGCTTCCCCCTCCGAAGAGAGAGAAAAAAAGAAAAAATATTCCTTCATTAGTATACAATTCCCAAGTCCCTTCCCCCCACCCCCCACCCCGAGTACACGTCTGTGTGCAACCTTAATTCTGGATTCCTGTGCTAACCATAATACTCAATCATATATCACTTCTCATCTGTTCTTTCCCTCATCGGTTTCAATACAATATACATAATTTATCCAGTTTTTTCTGTCATACCCCCACCCTGATGTCAGACACCACGATCCAAAATATGAAAGGCATTGTTGTGTTGTATCTTTTTTTTTTTATTTCCATTCATTCATTGTTGCATCTGCCCCACCTGCACCCCCCGTTGTGTTGTATCCTGGGATTCGTCATCTTAAAATCCACATTTTGGTTCATTAATGTAAGCTCTAACTTTTGGTGACTTGCTCTCAGAACCCTGCTCGTATATAAAATGGCATGATAGTAGTACTTCCCTTTCGTATTTGAGCATGCATTCAAATTAGATAATGTAGGTAAAGCACTTGACTTAATGCCTAGCATTTACTAAAACTAACTCATTAATACTTAGATATTCTAAGCACCAGAAGCGTTGGTGGCCTAGTAGGGAAGGAGTTGTGCTGCCAACCCAAAGTTATGCAGTTCAAATCTACCAGCTGCTCCACAGGAGAAAGAAGGGTAATCTCCTCCCATGTAATTTACAGCCTCTGAAAACCCACTGAAGGGTCAGTTATTCAACACCAATGAGAGAGACTCTAGGAAAAGAAGAGAAAGAATAGAGCCTCTTGAAGATAAAATAGTTTCTATTGAACTTCTAGGTTTTCTCACATGACTTGTACGTCTGCATTCACAGAGTCAGGCTCTCTTAACCAGGTCAATGCTGTACTGTTTTCTGCTAGGTAGAGCATGAGCTTTATTGTGGATGCTAGGTGACCTCGTCCACCTTCTGTGCCTTCTTCCTTTTCTTATTTGTGACAGTGAAGAATGTGTTGGTGTCTGTTTCCCCGTAGGAGCGGACAGGTGTGAAAATGGTCATGATCCAGGATGGTCCATTGCCTACAGGAGCAGATAAGCCTCTTCGCATCACTGGAGACCCATTTAAAGTACAGGTAGGACAGAAATGTGGGGTATCGCTTGGTGGTAGTATATAGCCTTTTTACCTGACTCGGTTTGGTGACAAAGAATAGAGTTATGCTGCCCAATCTAGTCACCATTTGCTCCATGTTAAAAGTGTGGTGCCTTGTTTGTACTGACTGTATTTCATATGCTCAGTAGCCACATAGAATAGTGGTTCCTTTTAGATAGTTCACACTTGCATCATTACAACTCGTTGTTGGGTGGCACTGATCATATGAAGCTTTAGATTTGTTGATCTGTGTTCGCCTCAGATGCCAGCTCTCTAGCTTCTGTGTTTTTGTTCTTCCTCTCAGCCAGTCACCTATTTTTGCAAGATATTCACCTAGGATTAAAGAGGAACAGAGGCACTAGAGTTGCACAAAGCATGTGTGTACCCTTGTAGCATGTGTCTCATAGCTTGAATTCCCTCCCAAAGAAGATAGTTCCATTTGCTGAAAGCAGTAAGGGGTTTAAGGTGGAAATCACCTGGAGTGGTCCCTCTCCTCCGCTCCTTTTGTAAGCAGGAATATGAGTGGGCTTTGGATAAGGACTGCACCTGTTCCGACAATACATGAATGCACTTTTTTTATCAGCTGGCTATGTCTGCCTTTCCATTCCTGCATTTAGAGTCACTCTGGATGGAAGCATTGGGATTTAATTCCGTGAAGATTGGCAGTCCCTGGCAAAATATTTCCCAATTTTTAACCCACTCATAAATTGAACTTAAATTTATATGATTGGTAGGTTTTTGGGTTTTATCCAAATATATATTTAAAATAATAGCTTAAATAGAGCTGAAGAATAATGATAAAAGCAATTTGATGCCTTGGGCTATGGTAAATGATGTAGGCTTCTCTTCTTCTTGCAAACCAGGCTCATACCCATGAGACTTCCCCAGAAAATACAATCTCTTATAATATAAGCACGTGGGCTTGGAATCACATTGTGTGTATTCCATCACTTTGCTCATGCACTCTGTCCTGTAGAATCTAGTACTGCTACCCTACAATACTTTAGAAGCAATTATGGATGAAACCTGCCAGAGCACTGTGCAAATAACAATCATATTCTGCATAGAGGCATTGGCCTGGCTGGCACTTAAGAGGGTGGACCTTTATCTCTGTAAACAATTGGACAATAACATTCTATATCAGATTTGACAAATAACCTCTCGCACCACTAGCCTACCCTGTAACCCTATGTTATAGCAAATGAGGCCTCCCACAACTGGAATCATTACGCCCCAATTAGGAGAGGTTTAGAAATTTCACCTGGTAGCATGTCTTCATTAAGGATTTTTATTTGTCTTAATAATGATTTATGTTTCTGTTTATGCAGCAAGCTAGAGAAATGGTACTAGAGATCATCCGAGAAAAAGACCAAGCCGACTTCCGGGGTGTACGCAGTGATTTCAGCTCCCGAATGGGTGGAGGCAGTGTAGAGGTATGCTTTCATGATAAGTTAATAGGAAAACAAGATTAGATTTTTAAATGTAGGTCTTTATTAGCTCTTTAACCTTGAGCAAGCTATTTCACTTTTGTCCTGTCCTCAAAACCATAAGACTATCCTTACTTCCTGGAATGGATATGACTGACGCCGGAGTTAGAGATCAGAGTTTAGGCTTTGTGAATCATTTGTGTTATGATTGGATCAAACTTGGAAGCCTGTTTTCTTGATGAAATGAAATGAAATGGAATAAACTTCTACATTGGGGAAAAAAATGATAGATTTGTAAAAGCTCTCCTGAAGCTTTATTTCTTGTGCCTAGGTATCTGTGCCTAGGTTTGCTGTTGGCATTGTAATAGGAAGAAATGGAGAGATGATCAAAAAGATCCAGAACGATGCTGGTGTGAGGATTCAGTTTAAACCAGGTTGGTTTTAATGATTTTAAAAAATCTTTCATGGTGGGGTTGTTTTTGGGTTTTAGTGGTGTGGTTTGTTGTTTTTGGGTTTTTTTGGTGTGGGGGGGTTGGTGAATTTTTTGAGCATTATATAATAGCTGATTAAATATAGGTTCTTAGCCCACTTATGAGATGTTTCCTCCTCTCTCCCCTCAGAACGGTTTTTTAACTAGGTTACCAATCTGAAGTTCTTCCTTTCGTTCTTTGGATGTACATAGTCACCCTCCTCGTGCGAGGAACTCAGCCCACAGCTTTCTGGGCTTCTGCCTCATCTGACTAGTGACGTTGTAGAGAGGGCAACACTGCAATTGTAGCTTTTATTGTTGTCAGATAAAAGCCTTTTACAAAATATACCACCAATTATTCTTTTCATAAATAATTCTTTTTATAATATCTCAATTTCATAAATTTATTATTTTCTAGAGGAAAGGACAACAACAGTCTTATCATAAATGGCAGTTCTGTAAATTGTATAATTTTATCTTTGTAAGCAAAATTTTCTACATTGTCTTTGCTCTCCTGGTTTCTTTGAATATGAGGGACTATATCAACCATTGCTATAAATTACTCCATTTTCCTTGGTTTTATTTTTCTTTAATTTTTTTTTTATGTTTGTATAATGGCTTTGTTTGGGTGAGATTTTTTATTTTGGGTTGGTTTTGGATTTTTTTGTTGTTGCATCAGAAATGAGTATTGACTTGGAACATGTAAAATGATGTCATATATTTCCCTATCAAAACTACTGTAGTATGTTCTCTAATCAAGGGTTCTTACCCCTTTTGAGCCTGATGTGAATGTCAGTTGGAAATCAAATTGACTTTTGTTTCCTTTTAAAATTAGCCTTTCCTGAATCTTGTTTTATCATTTTGTTCCACAGACGATGGGATTAGTCCAGAAAGAGCAGCACAGGTCATGGGACCTCCAGATCGGTGTCAGCACGCAACACACATCATCAATGAGCTCATTCTGACAGCCCAGGTAGGTCCAGCTGTGTGAAGTCTGCACGTCTCACATGCATACAGGGAAAGTGACAGTTCTGGCTCCTGGGAGACTGCACCACAGGGCACCTATCACATCCAAAGCATTAGCGGAAACTGCTCTTTATCAGTTGTCTCCCTCCTGGTTGATAACCAATGACTTGTCTCCATCTACCTCTTCTCTTTCTTCATTTTTTGTTAGTTCATTACCATCATACCTTTATTACTCTCAGAATATAAATTTTCTTTACACAGTAAATTTCTGAGAATATACTTGTTCAATCATATGGCCTCTTGTTCTTAGAATGACGAAGAGGAATGCTACGCATTAATAATCAGAAAGAACATTTCAGGGAAGGAACTACCATTATAGCTAGAGAAGAGGTTGAGGTTGTTAATCCTTGGCTCCATAATCAACACTGAGGCAGTCAGGAAATCAAAAGACTAATTGTACTGGGAAAATCTGCTTTCAGGGACCTCTCCAGAGTACTGAGAAGCAATGATAATCAGTCTAGAGACTATGGTGTGCGTGATCCCAGCCATGGTCTTAGCAGTTACTTGCTATATGCATCAGAAAGCTGAACAGGGACTGAGGATGACAGTAAACGAATCAATGCTTTTGAGTTGTGGTGCTGGAGGAGAGTCCTGAACATACCATGGACCACCAAGAAAACAAATAGGTCTGTCTTGGAGAGGATGAAGCCAAGTTTTTTCCTTGGAAGCTAAGATTTTTTTTTTATTTATTTATTATTAATTTCTATGAAAATTTACAGAGACTCTGGATTTCCATTCAGTCATTGTTGCACTTTTCTCCCCTCCCAATCCTCCCACCCCTAGTACACTACCCTCTTGGAAAAGTAAAAGAAAAATTATTGCATTGTTTTACTATCCCTCCCCCCAGGTCCACTCCACTATGCAGCCTTCACTCTGGACTCCTGTCATAACAAAAATACCTGATCACATATCCCTTTTAAACAGTTTTCTCCCTCATCTGTTTCAGTGCAGTATACATTATTGAACCCATCTTTCTCAGTCTCCCCCCAACCCTGAGGTCAGTCCTGTTTTACAACAGTGGCGTCTATGCAGTATTTGTCCTTTTGTGACTGAGATAATTCACTCAGCATAATGTCCTTCAGGGTCACCCATTTTGAATAATAATGCATGAGTTCCTTGTTTTTGAATGCAGCATAGTATTCCATTGTGTGAATATACTACAGCTTCTCTATCCATTCGTTTGTTGATGGGCGCGTAGGTTGTTTCCAACTCCTTGCTATTGTGAACAAAGCCACAATAAACATGGGTGTGCATATATCTGCTTGGATGTCAGTTATGGTCTCTTTAAGGTATATTCCCAGTAGTGGAATTCCTGGGTCAAATTGTATCTCTATTTGCAACTTTTTTGAGAAAGCCCCATACCACCTTCCACAGTGGTTGCAACATTTTACACTTCCACCAACAGTGAATCAGGGTTCCAGTTTCTCCACAACCTCGCCAGCATTTGTTGCTTGCTATTCTGTTAAATTTTACTATTCTGACTGGGGTGAGATGATAATCTCATAGTTGTTTTGATTTGTATCTCTCTTAGAGCTAGGGATTTTGAACATTTCTTCATGTGCTTGTTGGCCATCTGAATGTCGTCTTTGGTGAAGTGTCTGTTCATATACTGTGCCCCTTTTTCTATTGCATTGTTTACCTTTATTTTGTTGTGGTAGGAGGCTATGATCTTTAAGCTCCATCTCACATAATTTCGGCACATGACCAGAGGGACCAGTCCTTGGAGAATGACATCATGCTTTGAAGGGTAGAGGGACAGCGCAGGAGAGGAAGACCCTAGATGAGATGGATTAATACAGTAACTGGGGTACTGGGAGTAAGTGTGTCGGAATCAGACTGGCTCAGGAAAGGGCAGGGTTCAGAGCTATTGTACACAAGGTCACTGAGTCACAGGCAACTTGGCGGTACATAACAACATCATCATGAGATCTTTAGCCTTCAGTATGGATTAAACTTGCATAAACAGAAATTTTCCCAAATGGACCCAATAACCAACATCATAATTGGAGCAAAGATTCAGGTTGTTCAGCATTTCATATTACTTGGTCTACAGTCAACACACATGGAGATAGCAGTCAAGAAATCAAAATGACATATTGCATTGAGTTAATACATTGCCAAGGACTTCTTTTAATTGTTAATGGGCAAGAATGTCACTTTGGGGGAAAAGTGTGCTCTGATATTTTTAATTGCCTCATATGCATGTACATATTGAACTGTGAATAAGACAAGACTGAAGAAGAAATGATGATGACTTTGAACTACAGAGTTCATGAAAAGTATTGGTTATTCACTGAACTGATAAACTAAGTAGTTTTGGAAGAACTGCAGCCAGAATGCTTCTTATAGATAAGGGTGGCGAAGCTTAGTCTCACATATTTGGTTTTGGCATGTTTTGAGACTGGGAAAATCCCTGAACAAGGACATCATGCCCAGTAAAGTAAAGGATCAGAGTGAAAGAGGAAATTTTTCAGTAAGTTGATTTGGCACAGTGGCTACAACAGTGGCTTCCAGTATAGTAGCAATTGTGAGAATATTATAGGAGCAGAAATTCTTTGCTGTGTGGTTCCTCTTAATGGATAAGGTTCTGTCCTACTCTGCTTCTGGGAGTCAGGATGGAAAGCTGTACTTGGAGGGCTGTTCATTTGGTGTTGGAAGTCATAATGGATAGAAAAGTGGACTGGCAATCTTCAACTCTTAACTACAGACAACAGTTGAACCACGCATGAACCACATCACCTTTATGGCTATAGCTTCAGTGACTGTCTCATAGACTGTCTCTATTTGACTGTCATTAAGGATACAGGACATTGGAAGTGGTTAAAGGGCAAAGGGCATAAAATCTACAGTTTTAACAAAGAAGCAGAGAGAGTCAAGCCACAAGAAGATGAAGCTGTTGATGGTTTGGATAGAAGACCAGATTCAGATAAATAATGCTGATTCAAATGAAAGCACACACAGCCTTTCTGAAAACATGAAGAAACAGCAAGACGATTCTGGTTAGTATTTCATTGCCACTAGGGGGTTATTTCATTGCTTTAAATGTAGATTTGGCTTGCATAAGAAGTTTGTAGAACTGGAAAGACAGGAAGTCTTGATACTGAAGCTGTCAGAAAGTTCAAGGATGAGTTAGACAAGATAATACTACTAGATGAGGAAGATCTGCCTGACCAGATACACATTGTGGGTCAAACAAGCTCATTTTGGAAAGGAGTGTCAGAATGTACTTGGAGTCACAAAGAGGTAAAGATGTTGCCTGGGTTCAAAGCATTTAAAGACAGAATTTTTCTGTTGAAAGAAGTGCTGTTGGGCTTATAAAGATACTGATCATATAGGGCAGAAGAAATGAAATGAAAACAAAAGTGAAAAAAAGATATATTCATCTTATGTGGGAACCTTTTTACATGGAAGATCTGAATGGAACATTGTCATAAGTGAAGGACTTTCTACTTAAAAATATTTCTCATAAATACTTGTATTTTAGAGATTTTTATATATAACTAGACCCACAATCTCATAAGGTGCACCTAATTAGAACTGAGGGGCAGCTGCTTCCTTGCACCAGGAACTGAGCCTTCTAATTTGCTTCAGTTCCTACCATCTCTCGTTTAAACGTGGTTCTTTTTTTCTCATTGATATTTTTATAGGTATTTGAGTTTTTGCCCTTAGGTGTTTAAGGGAGCTCTAGTGACCTGGTGGCAAGAAGCTGCACTGCAATCCCAGAGATATGTGGTTTGAATCCACCGGATGCTCTGCTGGAAAAGGAGAAACAATCTCCTCCTGTACTGGTCAGATCCAATTAAATGGTACACACACACAAAATAATAAAATATTTTTTTTTAAAAAGTGAGACCACTTCAGAGACAGTGAAATTTTATATATGTGAATGCAGGAAAAAATGTCTTGCAGACTTTTTTGAAAGGTATCAAGATAGGAGACCTTAGAGTTGGAAGATAAGGTAACATAAAAATAATAATGATTTTTAAAAAAGACCCAAGTTTACTGTCTGGTAAAAGCTGTGAGGCTATGACCTTTAGTCAAAGTTCAAACCTGAAGCTGAAGTTAGTTCCCTGACTCTGCACTCAACCAAAGAACAGACAGTCCTGTAAGGTAGACCAGGAGGAATGTAGTCTATGGAGCAATCAATCAGACAAGATCGAAAGGGCAGCATTTCCCCACAGGTAAAACTCAGAGAGTAGCACAGGAGAGGACAACGGAGTGCTAGGAAAGGGAATCATGCAGAAGATGGGAACCTCTGTTATAATGTGGAAAGTGGAGTCAGTGTAATAAAACTTGGATGAATTGTTGAATGAAAGATGAAGTTGTTCTGTAAACTTTCAATCAAATCACAATAAAAGGTTAACAAATAAATAAAAATGTTATCCTGAAGTATCATGCTGACAGTGATAATATCTCTATACGTACAAAGGACAGACCTTTTAATACAACTGTTACTTACTCACCAAAAATTAAAATAAAACATGAAGAAACTGAGGATTTCTACCAACTTCTGTAGTTTTATAGTGATTACAAACATGTAATCAAGATGCCTTCATAATAACTGGAATTTGGAATGCAAAAGTTGAAAAGAGGTAGGCTTGATAGTCAGGAAGATATGGCCTTGCTTAGAAATAAAACCGAAGATTAAATATTAAAAGGTTGTAAATCCAATGGCTTATTCAATGCAAATTATTTTAAAAAATTACTATGCACATATACCTCACCTGATGGAATACACAGAAATCAAATGACCACATCTGTGAAAAGATGATAGAGAGGCTCAGTATCAGTCAGAAAAAGGGCAGGGCCTAACTGGTAGAGAATATCAGTTATACATACGCAAATTCAAATTAAAGCAGAAAAACTTAAAACAAGTCTAAGTAGCCCAAAATAAGGTCTTGAACATATCCCACCATCTCAAGAATATATGTGATGCATTGAATGGTG